TGCCTGCTTGTGATCTCTCTCTGTCAAATAAATAAATAAAATCTTTAATAAAAAAAAAAAACAAAAAAACTACACTTTAAGGGGATCAAAATAGAATTAAAAAAAAAAAAATCTTAGAGGGGGAGGGGCAGAGGGAGAAGGAGAGAGAATCCAAGCAGACTCCCCACAAAGAACAGAGTCCAACACGAGTCTCGATCTCACGACCCTGAGATCATGACCTGAGCCAAAAACCAAGAGTCAGGCACTTAACTCACTGAACCACCCAGGCACCCCTCAAAATAGAATTCTTGATGGTTTAGTAATTTCTGGTGCCATAAAGAACAATTAGCTAGGAAAAAAAAAGTTATCTGGGTTAAAATGTTTACAGAAAACAAAGTAACTGCTTTTTATTACTGGGACACTAAATGCCAGGTAATCTGCCAGATGCTTGTAATCACCCAATATTATTGATATTACCCCTAAGAAATTCCAAGTAACAAAGTAAAGTTACTTTAAATCATATGCTCCCCCAACACAGAGAAGAAGGGACTGACTTTGGAACCATGCTGTTAAGAAGTCTGAGCTCTTCTCAGTCGAGCTCTTCTCAGTCGTTAAGCGTCTGCCTTTGGCTCGGGTCATGATCCCAGGGTCCTGGGATCGAGCCCCACATCGGGCTCCCTGCTCAGCAGGAAGCCTGCTTCTCCCTCTCCCACTCCCCTGCTTGTGTTCCCTCTCTCACTGTCTCTCTCTCACTGTCAAATAAATAAATAAAATCTTTAAAAAAAAAAAAAAAGTCTGAGCTCTTTCAATTCACTGAACTCTTACCCCCAAGGAATTAGCTGATAGGTGAGAAATGGACACAAAGGGCTGGAAGCTTCTTTACATTATGGTATTTCAACCTGGAGGCTTGATTAGAGCTAGGTCTACCCAATGGTTTTAACCTCCACTGAGGATTGCTGCCTGGATCCATTATTTCATTAACAGTTGCAACATACTGCCTTTCTAACATCCCTTCTCTGTTTATTAGAAGGAATTCTATTTTTTAGACTCAAAATGGATGAAAGACCTCAATGTGAGACAGAAATCCATCAAAATCCTTCAGAACACAGGCAGCAACCTCTTCGACCTCAGCTGCAACAAATTCTTCCTAAAAACATCGCCAAAGGCAAGGGAAGCAAGGGCAAAATGAACTATTGGGACTCCCATCAAGATCAAAAGCTTTTGCACAGCAAAGGAAACAGTCAACAAAACCAAAAGACAACTGACAGAATGGGAGAAAATATTTGCAAACGACATATCAGATAAAGGGCTAGTATCCAAAATCTGTGAAGAATTTACCAAACTCAACACCCAAAGAACAATCCAATCAAGAACTGGGCAGAGACAAACTTTAAAAACAGACTCAGCATCAGATAAGGAATTATTTTGTTAGGATAATGGCAGGGTATTTTTTAAAACTCCGTTAAAAGGTAAACAAATATGGGTGAAATGATATGGTATCTGGCATTTGTACACAAATATGATAGGAAAATAGGTTGAGGAAGAGACAAAACAAAATTTGCCAAGTGTTTTGAACCTGGGCTGTTTAAGTATTTAGAGGTTCATCATTCTGTTGCATTATATATATATATATTTTAAGGTTTTGACAAATTGAGAGAAAGAGGGAGAGCACAAGCAGGGGGAGTGGCAGACAGGGAGGGAGAAGCAGATACCCCCTTGAGCAAGGAGCCCGAAAAGACTTGATCCTAGGATCCTGAGATATGACCTGAGCCAAAGGCAGACATTTAACTGACTGTGAGCCACCCAGGCGCCCCACTGCATTCTATTTTTAAAAATTAACTTACCAATATAGAAGTAGTCAGCTTCCCCACATGACTCAAATTAAGTGTATTCACATCACCTATATCCAAGTCTGGATTGACCAAATTGTAAAATGAACCTGTCCTTGACTTTACATTCCCTCTACCTAAAAAAATAAAACAAAACCAATTAATCAACCAAACAAAACTTGAGCTTAGGGATTTAGCTGGAGACAGAAAAAAAAAAATCAATTCTTAAGAATTAAAAATTGTTTTGGCCTATTTATTTACAAACATTCGATCTACTAAGCCAATTACTGACACTGCTCTTGGTGCTGTTATTTGAAATAAATCCTTCTGACCATATTTGAAAAGGTAGCTTGTTAAGAAGTACTGGATGTTTCCATTTAAAATACTTCATCTGTATAAAGTTTTATGGGAATCACAAACTTCAAATTGGGAAGGATTTAAAATGTCAGTGCACCTTCCTGACGAAGTTTTGTCTTCATTCATTTCCTCATGTCAAGATGAGCTTTAGGTACTGGTATGTGCCTACCTACTTAAAACATAATTTTAAATTCAAATGACCATACCATTTTAACCACTTTGATGGCCGAAGCTACCTATCGACTGTAGTGAAGAAACATGTGAAGGTGGAATCCAAGTAGTAAAACTCTCTATTAACCATTACTTTCCATTTCATCACAGCTCATTTCGCAGTAGAGCTATGAACAAGAATCGAACTGATGGAGTTTTGGACCAATGACGTGTGCTTTCACAGAAAAGTGGAATCAGGGAAACTTGAGAGTTAAGTCTCAACTCAGCCATGACCGAAGAGACTTGGCCAAATCATTTCCAATTTCTACAGCATCTAGCTCTTTGACATTATTCGGAGGAATAGTTTTCAATTTTATGAACTATAAAACTTCACAGGATAATTTGCTGCCAGGTGAGTAATAGCCGGTGTCAATTTTATTTACCTGCTCTGAACATTCTGATGAATGAGAACACCTGAGAGAGAAGCAGGAGCTGAAAACACTGCAACCACCTACTCAGCTGCACTTTAAAAAATGCCTCATAAAAACCTAACTTTCAAAATGGACCAGACTGAAATGTACTAACTGAGCCCATAAATTTCCTAGCAGCAGACATAGGCAGGCTTGGATTACCTGTCTTGGTGATGATTTTTTGGACCTGACACCAAAAGCGAGGGCAACAAAAACAATCATGAACAAGTAGGACTTCATCAAACTAAAAAGCCTCTGCGGAGCAAAGGACGTCATCTGCAAAAGCCCTGGTAACCAGAGGTTCCTCAAAAAGTTAAAAAAACAGAGCTAGGGACGCCTGGGTGGCTCAGTTGGTTAAGCAGCTGCCTTCAGCTCAGGTCATGATCCTAGCGTCCTGGGATTGAGTCCCACATCAGGCTCCTTGCTCGGCGGGGAGCCTGCTTCTCCCTCTGCCTCTGCCTGCCATTCTGTCTGCCTGTGCTCGCTCGCTCTCCCTCACTCTCTGACAAATAAACAAAATAAAATAAATAAAAGTAATAAAATTAAAAAAAAAAAAACAAAAAACCAGAGCTACCCTACAACCCAGCAACTGCACCGCTAGGCCTTTACCCAAAGGATACAAAAAACTGACTTGAAGGGATGGATACATGCACCCCTGTTTCTAGCAGCATTATCAACAGGAGCCAAACTATGGTAGAGCGCGCTATTGTCCACCAATGGATGAACGCATAAAGCAGATGTGGTATATGGATCTGACAGAGTATTACTCAGCCACCAAAACGATAAAATCTTGTCATTTGCAGCAACATGGATGGAGCTCAAGTACAATGCTAAAGTCAGAGGAAGACAAATATATGGTTTCATTCATACGAGGGATTTAAGAAGCTAAACATAGGACAACCAAGAAACCAGAGGCAAACCAAGAAACAGACTAGATGACAGAGAACACACTGCTGGTTACCGGGGCGGGGGTGGGGTGATTAGGTGAGAAACAGGTGACAGGAACTAAGGAGGCCACTGGCTGCGATGAGGACCTGAGCATCGGGTGTTGTATGGATGCAAGGAATTGCAGAATTCTACACTTGAAACTAGTACTATACTGTATGTTAACTGGAATTCAAATAAAAGCTTGGAACAAAAAACACTTTGTCACAACATACAGTTCAACTATTAAGAGGGCAGCTACTGTATGTGGACTGCATCAGAGGCCCACGATTAATTTATGCTGTGCTTCTGAGGCAGAATTTCAGCTTTCTTAAATTCCTAGTCAACTTCAAGAACAGGAGCCTTGGGGCACCTGGGTGGCTCAGTTGGTTAAGCGACTGCCTTCGACTCGGGTCATGATCCCAGGGTCTTGGGAATGAGCCCCGTATCGGGGTCCTTACTTAGCAGGGAGCCTGCTTCTCCCTCTCCCTGCTACTCTGCCAGCTTGTGCTCTGTGTCAAGTAACTAAATAAAATTAAAAAAAAAAAAAAAAAAAAGAACAGGAGCCTTGTTATATTGGCAAATGCCTCCGGTGAATAACAGAGGGGAACCCAGCCTGGTTTCACTGTTTGTCATACAAGAAAATCCCGTGAGTTCTATGTTTAAAACGTAAGCCAAACAACTCAAATCTTTGTATAATGCACTTACAAAAATGGCAGTATTTTTGACAAAAAAAAAACAACACACAAAAACCTGTACCTGAATAATCAGTTATGGTTTTTACACCAAAAAAGAATTTCTACCTGGCAGTTCTTCTTACTAAATTAAGTAACACTTACCATGTAGTTTCTACTGTGAAGACAGGTAACTAAGAAAAAATTCCTATAGGCAGACAAAAAGTTTCTCGTGTTAGCCAATTATGGTCTGGAATATTCAGCAGAGGTTTCTTCCCAGGTGTTTTCCAAGCAAATAGTTCTGCTCCACTAGAGATGTAACAGAAATCTAAACTGCTTCATGACCTTAATTGTCATAGGCTGAGGCTCAAGTATTTACTTATTACTTCATGTGATGTGGAAACTGATGTTCCATGATTTCAAAACTCCTCCACGTGGAATTAAAAATTAAATCCTCAGGCATCAGAATTCCTATTTGTTTGTGACCTGCCAGTCAGACTTGAATGTTAAATGAAGACTGTATGTGGTTTTATCAAACAACCTGTCACGATGGACCAACTAGAGGCCTTTCCACGAGCGCTACATATCATCACTGACATCACTCACTGAAGACAGAACACAATTCTTAAAATTTAATGAAATTCCAAGAGTAAACATTTTCCTATGGGTTTTGGTTTCCAATACCTGCCTATTGGGAATTAATACTTATTACCTGTTCAACAATTACAGAAAAAAAAATTACGAAAAGTTTTGAATTTGAGGTATATAAAGAATATTCATTAAGAATAAAGTAGTCAAGATTGCCTTTTACTCAAAAAAATCACTTCAAAGAGTTGACCTCCATGTACAAAAGACAAGATCAATCACATTTATCACTGGACACAAAGAATATTCCAAAGATTTTTTAAAATGGTAATTTCAAAAAGGAAAATTAATTTTAACTTTTATAGTTCATTCGTTATCAAGACCATACTTGCTTAACAAGGTAATTATACTATTGATACAAAACATACAGTATTTACACTTAACTGTACAAAATAATTTAATGTTTACAAAAATATTAGAATGTTTAGAGTTGACTGACACAGTCTTAAGTAATCTCTTCTAGAGAAGTATATAGTAAGACCACTGATTTCCATTTCATTTCTTGTTTAATAAGTCAAAGAAAGGATGCTGCAAGGCTTCGTCCAAGGTGATTCTTTTCACTGGGTCGTATTCTAACATTCTTCGTACCAGGTCAAATAGTTTCTCATGTTCTTCATCATGACAAAGCATAAATTCCTGGGGGGAAAAAACGTCCGTTTAAGAAAGAGATTTAAAAATAGTTTTTTAAAAACATTTTTTAAAACCACCTTGTATCTTTTCTCTTTTACCTTTAATGGTTTGCAGCGTCTCCTAACATATCGGCCAGCGGAACTGTGTTCATCCCAGTCTAGCTGGTTATGGTGAAAATACTTGCGTTTTCTATGAGAAAAAGCCTAGGTCAGTAAAAATAACTGAAGAGCCACATGTTTACCCTGCCCCCACTGGAACAGATGGGAGCATGGATGGCTCTGTAGACACACATACACATGCATACAATTTTTTCAAATCTCAGCAGTTACAGATCAGATACTTCATGGTGCCATCTTCCTCACTCTTGCACCCTCAGGGGTTTCAGCGGCCTACCTAAGTGGCTCATGAGTACCATACATAGACCAGCGTCGGCCTCCGGATCCAGTCCTCTGAGTTCAGATTTCACTAGATCTGGGAAGCCGTGACGAAGTTCTGTTTGCAAACCACTCTAGCATCTTGTCCAAAGGCAGACATCTAGCTAGCAGGAGTCCGGAATACAAACAGATCGAGAGGACTCCAAGATCAAGCTCTTTTTACTATTCTCTGTATTATGTTTTTATCAAGTTAGGAAAACATTTATGCAAAGGTTAACCTGAATGTAAAAAACACCACCTTTGTTTACTAGATCACGAGGTAAATACTGCATTACTTTAAAAATCTGACTGTCTGGGGGAAAAGAATCCAAATCTGAAGTCCTTGGGATAAGCACTGAGACCAAAGTTGGGTTCTCTGTAGTCTGAACACAGGGCACTACACGTACCTTGTTTTCTGAATCATGTGTGTTGGTATGGGTCCTAGTATTCGTTCCATCATTGCGAGGTGCTCTTTACTATCATGAGTCTAAAACACATAAGAAAAACGAATTTAGCACTTCCTCTTGTGCTACATGCACAATAAAGGAAAATACAAGAAAACAGCACTGACACAAAGGGCTAGATTAGACAGCTGCATGGCAGATATTACACTCTACTTCAAAGATGGAACAATACTGAGTGAGCCGTATTCTCCGTGGAAACCTGTAAAACCGAAGTCTTTCTGATACCCAACAGTAAGGTTCTGTATAGCAGAAGACATGGAATTTAATGTGAAACTGAACCTTTTCCTTACTTATTTTTTTTTTATTTTATTTAATTTATTTATTTGACAGAGAGAGATCACAAGTAGACAGAGAGGCAGGCAGAGAGAGAGAGAGGAGGAAGCAGGCTCCCTGCCGAGCAGAGAGCCCGATGCGGGACTGGATCCCAGGACCCTGAGATCATGACCTGAGCCGAAGGCAGCGGCTTAACCCACTGAGCCACCCAGGCGCCCCTCCTTACTTATTTTCAATTCATGCACTGTTTGCTGAAAAGCGACTAAGACAGAGTACCAGAAAACTGGTCTCCTCACTTACTCAGCTGCTGACCCCAAACTGGCCTCCACTCACCAGTGAAAAGCAACATGTTAACATCTACTCTTTTCAGGCAATAAAAATCCAGGGCCAGTAATTCTCACAACAATCCTGAGCTCCGTATATGGGAATGTGCGTGTCCAAGAAGCTGAGATACTAGCTCGCAAATGAGGAAAGGTGAATTATGGACCTAAGTCAAAACTCTTATTACTAAGTCACATAGGAGCAGAGCTCTGGCTGAAGGAGAGACACCCGCACACTTACAGCTGAGATGGTGAGCTCTCCGATGAGAGTCCAACAAACTTTTGTGAAGGTCCAAACATAAGTATTTTAGGCCTAGCTGGCCACAAATGGTCTCTGTCACATATTCTTTTTTTTAAAGCAGGCATCAGGCAGGGTATCATTTGCCAACTCTCAGTCTGAAGAGCAGAGGCTATGGGTAATGCTTTTTAAAATCTATCAACTACTGTTCCTAGCACCCCACCTCCACCACGTGGAGTCCCAAATCCATGACAGGAGCAGGTAATACTAGCTCCACACTTTTATCTTTATGTTTCTAGAATACCACAAGCCGGGGGGTGGGGGAGAATGGGGGGGAGGGAATACCACAAGAGAGTCTAAAAGGTCATCTGGCATCTTAGACCTTAATCACCAGCCTGCAGTGAACTGTTCCTTTTTCAGAATCATAGATACCAGCCGGTATTTTCTGATACCTTGTTTTTAACTGTTGTGGCTTGCTGAATCAAAGCAGCTCATTTGATACAAGTTCAGAGTCATTTCCTTCTAGAATTAACTCATCTTTCTTGGCTTGAGAGATACTGAACCCTCAACACCTAGCCTCATCCAAACCCTTCTGGTGTATTTTCACCCAAGAAATGTCATATTCAACAAGAAAACCATGCTCCTGAACACTGGTGGGGAAATGAGCACACACAGACCTCATCTTGTAATGGAAGCCCAGTGTAACACCCTTGCTCATGTTCTACAAAGAACTACAGACAGGAAAGAACTGGCTACAGTTAAGGACATTTCCCCACCATTTGTCAACCTGGCGCCGTCTCCTTCTTTCCAAGGAGACCAAGTTCTACACTGATGTAACTGAAGTCCCTTTGCTGGGTTCCTCTGGGGCTCTTTGCAGTAATAGCACATCCCTTCAGAGTGATTGCTCAGAACAGTCTTCATTCTTGCAACAGATGTGGCAAAAAGCTAGCTCCACATTTAAAAAAGAATTCCTTAGTTTAAGACTATTTTGGAGTGTGGAACTTAAAACAGAAAACATGTATCCTCAAGTGTTAATGATTTGCACTTAAGACCTCAGAGTGATTTACACTCACAAATCATGGGAAGCAACTTTTATAGGTATCAGAATGAAGGTGGCAAACCGTCCGCTCAACTTTTTCTGACCCTCAGCTTACCGCCACAAACCAGATACACCACCTCCAAAAACTCACTCGTGACCATGGTTCTAGATCTCAAACTTGTCTATAAATTCAGGGTACTTTTAACAGGATTGCAGGGGATTAGCAACAGGAGAAGGCTGGTGACAGGCCCCACAAGGAGAGACACACATTCTACCACAGCCACCACCTAGTGACTCTGAACTCCTCACACTTCCCCTTCACCCTGCATTGCCCCTGACTTCAAGTCATCCTCAACAGGAAGCAGAATGTGCCCAACCGGCACCCCCATCACTCCCAAAACAGATCACAACACTTCGATCACACTACAACCCTACTGAAACTTCGTCAATGCTTACACAACTTAAAGCTTCTAGAAGACGGTTAAATTTCAGATGTAAGAAGAATTATGACAGAAGAAAGCAGGGACTTAAATAAGGTTTCCTGCTTTGTTTTGCCAAGTAAGGATTTTAATTAAAAAAACAAAAACAAAAACAAAAAACTGCCAACAACTATTATCATCACTCCTTAAAAGGGACATTTTAGTACCAAAAACAAACAAAAAACCTGGAGGAATAATCTCCAAATAAATGCCAGAATGACAAACTCACAAAATCATTTTCACTTTGGATTGGTCTAATATTCTGGATAACACTAACTTCCAGGAAATAAGTACCTTTCTATCCAAACAGGTCCATTAGTGAGTCGCTGCATCATTTTCCCACTTATGCAAGATTCTGACAGCACTGTTTACAACTCCCCAACCAGAGTATGTTCTTTTTTTTTTTTTCTTTTTAAAGATTTTATTTATTTGACAGAGAGAGAGATCACAAGCAGGGAGGGAGGCAGGCAGAGAGAGGAGGAAGCAGGCTCTCCGCAAAGCAGAGAGCCCTATGCGGGGCTCGATCCCAGGACGCTGGGATCATGACCTGAGCCGAAGGCAGAGGCTTTAACCCACTGAGCCACCCAGGCGCCCCCAGAATACGTTCTTTTATGCCTCCACACATTTATGGGTCCAGCTTCCTCTTCCTGAGCTGACCTCCACGTTTTCTGGTTTTCTGACAAAGCCCTCATCTTCCTTCTAGCGCTGGCTTAAACTCCCACACCTCCTCAGTGACACCTTTTCAGAGGAATCGAACTGTCCATCTTTCCTGGGTTCCCACTACACTTTCCACATTGTTCCATGAGAGCAAATACACCACACTGTATTGTAAGCTCTCCCATGTCTATCTTTTGCACGACTTCCTTGAGGACAGAGATGTTGTCTTTTCATCTTTATACACCTAAGTGCCTTGAAATGTGCCTAGGGGGTCACAGATGCTTAATACAAACATCTCAAATACAACTTATTCTTCCTGAATCACTTTATAAAAAGAACCAAGTGACTTGGTCATGGCCACGCTGACAGTCAACATAACCAGAATGGAATTAAAGCCGGCCACAATAACACTAAAACAAACTTATGCAGGAACTCAATAAAAAAATGGAAACACAAGACAATATGAACTCCAATCACATGCAAAACGCACTACGACCATTCACTAAGAGCAGTTCCCCCAATTCTGGTTTTAGAGAAGAATGACCATTTTCCATATGTAAATTTTAACCTTAAGAAGAACACTACAGCAACTTGTCAATATGGAGGCCTAAATTTTCATATGCCTTTAACACTGAGAATTATGAAATGCTATTTATTAAATACATACCTGAAAGACTGTGAAACCAAGGTAATATTCAATAAGAATGCAACCTATGCTCCAAACATCACAAGGCTGGGACCAACCTAAAGCTGTAAAAACAAAAACACATACTTGTTTTGTTTTTAATTAATCTGACAGAGAGAGAGAGAGAGAGAGAGAGAGAGAGACAGACAGCACACACATAAGTAGAGGAAGCAGCAGACTCCCTGCTGAGCAGGGAGCCTGACGCGGAGCTGGGTCCCAGGACCCCAGGACCACCACCTGAGCCGAAGGCAGATGCTCAACTGACGGAGCACCCAGGTGCCCCCCAAAACCCAACACTTGTATATGCAACAATTTTTAATTGCCAATGCCCTACAGCCTTCCCTGTATGGGGGCCCTTTTCACCTAGCCCATTTGGGAGAACAGGACAGTAAACTTAGGGTTTACATTTTCAGTTTTATATAAAATGTTCAGTTTTATATAAAATTCAGTATGTTCTCATAATTCTCCATATCCTTACAACAAGTCAGTGCTTTAATCTGGGGGTGGGGGCATTTTATGTAAAATAAGAAAACGGCTAGCAAGTATTTTCCACAGCTAACTACCGATTTGTACAAATACTCCATCAACTCTGAACCGCATGCAATGGGGAGCACGGTTATACCCAGTTCATGGTTGCTCCAGGAAAATTTACATTTTTATAGCAAATATAGGTTGACAATCATCCTCAAAATGTAATTACTAACCATTTATTATCAGCTTAAAGGCAGAGTTTATTTCTTGCATTAGAAAAATACCACAATTTTACATAAATTATATAAAGATTGTAATGGTATTGTAAGCAGTTTCACTATAAGCAGAATTATAGAGCCATTTACAGTTCACAGGATCTACTTATTCTACTTATATATGTACTTTTTAGGTTATCGGTACGTGATTTCACATATACTTTCTCTTTCACGATTCTCAATGGCAGTACCATTCAGGAAAAAATAAAATACCTAGTCTTCTTAAGCCTACTTAATTGGAAAGGAGAAAAAAAGTAAACCGTACAGATATTTTCAACTTCTAAAGATCAAGTACTTAATAAAATAATAATGTATAAATAAAACCTACTGTAAAAGACATCCCAATTACTTTCAGTAACGAAAAGCACATTCAAAAACTTCACTATGACTTAGTCATTTTATTTACTTGTATCTTAATTTAGTCATTTTCGTTAATGCTCACAATGCCTACCATCTGAACAAATGGGTAACAAATGGATTCTACCTACAGTGACACATAAAAAAATCTGCAAATGATAGATCTTAGACCTAAAATGAAGGTTTTCTTCTCCAGCCACTCCCATCTTCTAAAGCAGCTTTGTTCCCAGATGACCATAACCTTCTGCCACACACTGTTCTAAACCATCCCATTCTCTGGGAAGTCAGCGCTCGGACTCTTTGGGATTTCCCACCATTCACGTCTACCTACCTCTCTCAGCCTCATCCATTTACTACCAACGTGCAAGGCAGGCGACCAACTGCCCTCCTCAATGGCAGCCCTTGATTTCATCTTCCTCTTCAACCTAATTCTGCCTCAATCCTCAGGATCAGTAATCCAGAAACACAAAGGGCCCTTCTAATTGCCCAATCTGCTGACTTCTTTTCCTCAAGGGCAATAACCCCAATTCCGGATTTATAGCAGCTATCTAGTATAGCCATACTTGGAACTGTGTTACAGTCATTCTTAAAAATTATTTTATTTATCCAATCTAGGAGGCTGTTAACAGAAAGACACACAACTATTTTATGTACTAATAACAAAAAAAATGCCAGTTACTTTGTATTGTGTGTGGGGGGGGTAATCTGCATCTTAAAATTGACAACATAGGAAGTCGTATCCTTTCAAGATCTGAAAATAGCTCTCTGTCCATAGACTCTTCCCATACTTCTTTTGCCCTCACTCAAGCCTTTAGTCCTCAACCATGAATACACTTTCTAAACTACTGCAACACAATAGGTCCTTGCAGACCATACTAAGCAGAAATCCTATTATCATCCATTTCAAAGAAAAGTTCAGGACCTGTGCTATCCAACACGGAAGCCACCAGCTAATATGAGGCTATTTACAGCTAACATTTAAACTAATATAAAATTTGAAATACAGTGTCTCAGTCACACTACCTACACTCCAAGTATGCAGTAGTCCACATGTGGTGAACAGCTACCATACTGGACACTGCAGATACAGAACATTTCCACAGAAACATGGAAAGTTCTACTGGCCAGCACTGCATAATACTCTCAATTTCCTTATGCTTTTAGCAATCCTCCGCTCCCAAGTAAAATTGTTAGTTTGTTTTCCTACTCTTATTCTGAACTACCAACTCCTGTTGCACAAAAAAAGGTGAAAAGTACAAACGGACTCTGCAAAAATGTTCTATCCAACCTCAGTTGGACCTTTTTGCTAACAAGCCTATTCCATGTAACCATGTCTCAAGAGCACCTGATCTGAACTTCCTCCCATGGTCTCTGAACCCCCTACCTCCTCTCCGACACTTCTCCACTTTATTAACAAGACCTGGTCTCTGACATTTTGAGGTGCAAGATACGCACTCCCTTACTGAAGTCCCTCTATTTTTAAAACTCGGTACCTTAAAGTAATTTTCTTCTTTAATCTTTCTCAAGTCAAGGATTATCAAACTGCTCCTCTTAGACTGGCCCCTCTTTCTTCTTGACCTCCACCTGCCCTTTACCTACATGTCTGCCAACCAGACCTTTAGCATTTCTACAGCACCATGCTATTGTAACATGAAAACTGGTACCCCCCCCATCACTTCACACTGCTGTGACATACTTTGTCACTAGAACTTGGCCTTTTATGATCTCGTGTGGTTAACTTGCTTAAAAAATAATCACTTGGGGGGCACCTGGGTGGCTCAGTGGGTTAAAGCCTCTGCCTTTGGCTCAGGTCATAATCTCAAGGTCCTGGAATCGAGCCCCGCATCGGGCCCTCTGCTCGGCGGGAAGCCTGCTTCTCCCTCTCTCTCTGCCTGCCTTTTTGCCTACTTGTGATCTCTGTCCGTCAAATAAATAAATAAATAAATCTTTAAAAAAAAAAATCACTTGGGGGGCACCTGGGTGGCTCAGTTAAGCATCCAACTCTTGATTTCAGCTCAGGTCTTGATCTCAGGGATGTGAGTTCAAGCCCTGCTCTGGGCTCCATGCTGGGCATGGAGCAGAACATGCACACATACATAAATTTAAAAAGTAAAAATTAAAAACAACAACAAAAACCAACCACCTAGAATGTCTTTACAGATGGTATCACATTTTTCCCGTTCAGGAAAAGTATTTGTAGCCATGTCCAGACAGTTTTTCTTAGGACAGATAATCTATTTTCTGTACACTAAGAAAACCACACCCATCCCTCTACCTGTCCCCTAACAAAAGATGTGGAGGAAAAAAAAATCTCTTAATTATAGTATCAGGAAGGATGGTGTCCACTGACCCAGAATGACCTCTGGAGCTCTGTAATGCCGTGTAGATACCAAAGTACTATGATGTTCATCATCATACGTTGCACTTCCAAAGTCAACAACCTTGATATCTGTGTTTTTCAATGTGCGTTCATCACGTTTCTAGAAAGAAACAGTTGAGTCAACATGAAGATCAGTAAAGACACAAAATACTTTACAGCACTTCAAAAGGCATGCACATGAATTAACTTTTTGATTTTCAACATAACTCCATGAGAAAGGTAAAGAAGGATTATCCTTTTTTGGTTAAATATCAGGATATAACCAGCCTCAGAAGTGAAAATAAAAGTTCCTCATCCAAGATCACCAAAACAAATTAATTTTAAAAACCACCACCAAAATTAAAATAAAACTGTAACTTACCATTTTAGAATTATATTTGACTACATAGTCAGACTTCACAAATAAAATATTTTCAGGCTTCAGATCTGTATGGGTTAACTTATTATGATGCAAAACTACAAGAGAACAAAAAGACATTATTAGTTTCACTTAAGTATTTCATCTGTATTGGGGGACATATAAGATTAATAGTGGTATAGGAATTTCATCTTTACCTATAACGTGTATTTTTAGTAACAATGTTTTGACATGTTGCTTGTACAATGAAAACTTAATTTTCTGGTGTTTAAAATTTATCAAGTATACTTACAATTTATAGACTGGCAGATCTGATACGCCATCTGCCTGATGTGGTCAATTTGAAATGGTAGAAAGCTATTTTCTTTAATGAAATCATAGGTACTAAGTCCCAGCAGTTCAAACACAATACAAACATGACCATGATGATCAAACCATTCTAGCATCTGGACACATCGGCTAAAACAGATCAAAATAAAAACAAGTCAGTTCACAGAATTCTGGTTATTTTAGGCAACAGGAGAGATCACAGTTCAAGTTCATACTTACAAGACACTATTGGGATCAGTACTATTTAAATGCTCCAATACTTGGATTTCTGAACGAGCTGCTTCACGGTATCGACCTACATTTTTTACAATTTTCACTGCTACATGCATGCCATCCCTTAAAAACAAAATTAAGATGAAAACCATTTATATATAGAAGCAGGATGAAGACGTGTCCTCTAAAGCATAATCTTACTGAGTATCAATTACTCTGTTATTGTTCTAAAAGTCTTTCAGGACACCTTATATCCAATTCCATATTACATCCTTTCAAAACAACCTGACAAAACACAATTTCTATCAAGCAATTAATTCCTTAATACTCAAAAATTTTAATGTTTTCAGAATTTTACATTTACCTAGACTTCATACAAAAGTTAAAAAAAAATAAAAATAAAACCTCAAATAGAACATGCTACTGCTAAAAGCATATGCTCAGACCCACCCTGTGCCAGAAGGCGCACAGGTGTTAGTGACGAAGACAAGGCTTGTCCCTATGCTCCTCAGTCAAATGGAAAAAACAGACAGATGAACAACTTACAAGGTCAGAAGTGCTTCGTATGAGCTACTACACAGCGAAGAGATGGGCGAGCCTAACAATTAGGGGGCTAAGGGAGGCTCAAACTTATTCAGAGAAGAAGCTGACACATGACTGAGCCCTGAAAAACAGCTACCAGTCTTTAAGATTTGGGAGAAAAAGTGAACATGTTCAAACAAAGGACAGACCACCAGTAAGTCATGAAGCCAGGAAAATGTTTACTATATTCACTGACTCAAGTGAAGAGAAACAGCTAGTGTGGGGCACAAGCTTTAGATCAGGGTATCTGTAATACTTTCTAAAACGTATCAAGTGGGGCGCCTGGGTGGCTCAGTGGATTAAAGCCTCTGCCTTCAGCTCAGGTCATAATCTCAGAGTCCTGGGATCGAGCCCTGCATCGGGCTCTCTGCTTGGTGGGGAGCCTGCTTCCTCCTCTCTCTCTCTCTCTGCCTACTTGTGATCTCTGTCTGTCAAATACATAAATAAAATCTTTTTAAAAAAATGTAAATAGGGGCGCCTGGGTGGCTCAGTGGGTTAAGCCTCTGCCTTCGGCTCAGGTCATGATCTCAGGGTCCTGGGATCGAGCCCCGCATCGGGCTCTCTGCTCAGCAGGGAGCCTGCTTCCTCCTCTCTCTCTGCCTGCCTCTCTGCCTACCTGAAATCACTGAAAAAAAAAAAAAAAAAAAAAAAAAAAAAAAAAAAAAAAAAAAAAAAAAAAGGTAAATAAATAAATAAATAAATAAATAAAACGTATCAAGCCACGCATGCTCTTGAGGAAATGGATTTCTTCAAATTCCTTTTGTCTTCTTTTCTAAATCTGATCTTTCTGAAGATGAACCAGCACTCAAACCTTTTTTTTTTTTTTTTAAAACTCTGGTCCTGCCACTTTACACAAGAAAAGAAAACTTCATACCCCCCATTAGTATAAGATATGTGCCGTAGGGGGCGCCTAGGTGGCACAGCCCATTCAGCAGCCAACTCTGGATTTTGGCTCAGGTCATGATCGCAGGGTCATGAGATCCAGCCTCACATCTTGCTAGGTGAGCACCGCAGAGTCTGCTTGAGATTCTCGCTTTCCCTCTGTCCCTTCCCTCAGTCTCCCTCAAAATAAATAAATTAACCTTAAAAAAAAAGAAAGAAAAGAAAAAAAGAAAAGATATGTGCCCTAGACTGTAAAATGAACAAACCTACCAACCAACCTTGAGTTTTCTAGTGGCTGGACAGCAAACCTTTTTTCTAAGTCTGGTGGTTTCCAATTCACTGTTTTCAAAAAGCCCCAGTGAAACTGTGCCCTGATAAATCATTAAAAACTTATTTTCATGATAATCTCCCTATGATACTTGGCATGTATCTCAAGACTTCAAAGAGTTGCTATGAAACTTCTATGACAAAACTCCTTCTAGTATCATCTATGTATGACCCAAGTTTTCTCAGTGCTTATTAGCTCTGGGAATGAAAAATTAATAAAGCTGTTAGCTAACACTACTTCAGTAATTACAATGAACACTTGTATACTTTCAACTTACAGATTACATGTCATCTTTTAAAAAAAAGGAAACAGGGTGCCTGGGTGGCTCAGTGGGTTAAGCCGCTGTCTTCGGCTCAGGTCATGATCTCGGGGTCCTGGGATCGAGTCCCGCATCGGGCTCTCTGCTCAGCAGGGAGCTTGCTTCCCTCTCTCTCTCTGCCTGCTTCTCTGTCTACTTGTGATCTCTCTCTGTCAAATAAATAAATAAAATTAAAAAAAAAAAAAAAAAGGAAACACCTTTTTAAAAAGCTATTATTTATTTATTTGGTAGAGAGAGAGAGAGAGATCACAAGCAGGCAGAGAGGTAGGTGGGGAGGGAGGAAGCAGACTCCCTGCTGAACAGGGAGCCCAATGTGGGGCTCGATCCCAGGACCCTGGGATCATTACCTGAGCTCAAGTCAGATTAAGCTTTAACCCACTGAGCCACCAGGAGCCCCCCAAAAAGGAAACATCTTAAGCACTTGAAGTATGTTTATGAATACATGTATTCCTTTTTTTTAAGATTTTATTTTACTTATATGAGAGAGAGAGACACAATGAGAGAGGGAACACTAGCAGGGGGAGCAGGAGAGGGAGAAGCAGGCTTCACGCTCAGCAGGGAGTCCGATGCAGGGCTCGATCTCCATGATCTCAGCCGAAGGCAGCCGCTCAACCACTGAGCCACCCAGGCGCCCCCATGTACTCCTTTTTTTTAAGCCCAAACTAACCCAATACAAGACACATTTCCAATTAACTTTTGTATTTAGGTCAAATAAATATAAAAATTTGCAAAGATTTCTACTTAATTGAATACCATTAATTGGAGTATCTCAAATACAATTTGGAATCTCAAGAAATTTTATTTTATTTTTTAAAAGTTTTATTCATTATTTGACAGAGATGACAAGTAAGCAGAGAGGCAGACAGAGATAGAGAGAGAAGGAAGCAGGCTCCCTGCTGAGCAGAGAGCCCGATGTGAGGCTCGATCCCAGGACTCTGGCATCATGACCTGAGCTGAAGGCAGAGGTTTTAACCCACTGAGCCAACTACTTTATGATGAAAAATTTTAGATGTCATTTTAGAGATGTGCAGTTGAACTGAATTGCTTTAAAGAGGTTCATTTATAAAAAGTTTGCAAACTACAAAACAGAGATCTGGAGAAAAATGTTAAAACAAGACACAGAGGGCCAAATCACAAAGGGTTTCATATTAAAGAATCTGGCCTTTATTCTGCAGCCTTTAAATAACAGAATTTCTTCAAAGTTAAGAAGCTAACTCAAGGGGTGCCTGCGTGGCTCAGTTGGTTAAGTGTCTGCCTTCAGCTTGGGTCATGATCCCAGGATCGTGGGATCAAGTCCCACATGGGGCTCCCTGCTCAGCGGAAAGCCTACTTCTCCCTCTTCATGCCGCTCTATTTGTGTTCTCTCTCTGTATCTCTGTCAAACAAGTAAATAAAATCTTAAAAAACAAAACAAAACACCCAACTCTAATATGCAGATTTGGGAATAAAGGTTTTTGTTCTGTTTAAGATTTTTATTTATTTATTTGATAGAGAGAAATCACAAGTAGGCAGAGCAGCAGGCAGAAAGAGAGGAGGAAGCAGGCTCCCTGCTGAGCAGAGAGCCCGATGTGGGGCTCAATCCCAGGGCCCTGAGATCATGAGCCAAAGGCAGAGGCATAACCCACTGAACCACACAGGTGCCCTGTGTTTTTGGTTTTTTTTTGCCATAGAAGCTTTTATTTCATGAAGTCTGAAAAAACAATGTACAAAATCCGCATAATATAAAGCACAACTGTGATAAAATGAAATTCTTCTAGTAATATCTAGTACTTCATAGCAGACTTCTTTTCTAGTTGTAATTATGAATCATTCCCAAAAAAGCTAGAAGGTTCCAAAACCTTTTATTTTTAAGATTTCATTCATTTGAGAGGGGGAGAACAAACTCGATTATAAGCATGAGCAGGGGGAGGGGTAGAGGGACAAGCAGATGCCCCACTAAGCCTCCCTAATGGGGGCTCGATCCCAGGACCTGGAGATCATGAACCTGAGCCAAAGGCAGACACTTAACCAACAGAGCCACCCAGGAGCCCCTAGAAGGTTCCAAAACCTTTAAAACAGAAGATGTTCCCTTCCAATCCTTAATGACACTCCAGGGTAGACTGCTTTTCGCTAGGCCATTTCTTCCACTGTGTGATTTTCAGATGGGGAATATATGTTTCCCACTGAGATTAGAAAAGCTTTATTGGGCGCCTGGGTGGCTCAGTGGGTTAAGCCGCTGCCTTCAGCTCAGGTCATGATCTCAGGGTCCTGGGATCAAGTCTTGCATCGGGCTCTCTGCTCAGCAGGGAGCCTGCTTCCCTCTCTCTCTGCCTGCCTCTCCATCTACTTGTGATCTCTCTCTGTCAAATAAATAAATAAAATCTTTAAAAAAAAAAATCTTTAGAAAAAAAAATTGTCTCTGCTATTCAAAACTAAAGCAAAGCACTCTAAATCTCAAATAAGGGTCAAGGCCTAAGGTCTAGGAAACCCCTTCACTTGAAGACCCACTTTAATTTCAACAAACACCATCCATAGAATCTGTCAGGTTTTTGTTTACAAGATTTTATTTTTAAGTAATTTTTACACCTGCCCTGGGGCTCAAACTCACAACCTGGGAATCAAGAGTCGCACACTCCACCAAATGAGCCAGCTAGGTGCCCCCAAATTTGTCAGCATTTTTTTTTTTTTAAAGATTTTATTTATTTGTCAGAGAGAGAGAGAGGGAGAGAGAGCAAGCACAGGCAGACAGAATGGCAGGCAGAGGCAGAGGGAGAAGCAGGCTCCCTTGCTAAGCAAGGAGCCCGATGTGGGACTCGATCCCAGGACGCTGGGATCACGACCTGAGCCGAAGGCAGCTGCTTAACCAACTGAGCCACCCAGGCGTCCCATTTGTCAGCATTCTTGATCAAAATCCACATTCTTGGTAAATAACTCAGACACAGTTCAAGAAATTCTGGGTATTTACACCACCCAGGAAAACACGTGGCTAATACTTAAAATACCATTTCATCTAAATGATGGATCCTTCCCAAGAAATATCAGAATGTGCAAAAAAGAAAAAAACAACTTACATGCCATGATCAATGCACTCTACGACTTTGCCAAAGGCCCCTTCACCCAAAGTGTCCACGATTTCATCTAAAGTAAGGGAGGAGAAAGACGAGTAAGTACCTGAGATCAAATTATCTAGTTATTCAAACAATGAATACTTAAGTGTGGAATATTTTCAAATGATCTCTATCAAAGCATAACTAAGGTTCCAGCACTCAAATTATTTTATTTTCAGCTGCTACAAAAACAATTAGATAGAGCTATCTTTCTTGCTCTAATCTCAAATTCCATTGATTATTTTGGAACTTTAGAGTAGAAATATTTTAAATTCTACAGAAAAGAAGAAATACAAAACAACAAACAAACCCACAAAAAACAAAACAAAAAAGCAATGAAGAGTTCTTTAGCCCCCCGCTGACAAACTATTCTTAAAAAGATTATTCTGTCTGCAAAGTTAAAAAAGTGTTGAAAAATATTCTATACATCTTGCTCTTAGAACGTCTCCACTTTGACAGATCAGGTGACCCTCCTCATCATCCTCTATACTCCTGGATCTTTTCCTTCGGTGGCTCTTCTGGAACGGCAAGTGGGCAGCACCAAGATCGTCCAGCCAATCAATATATCAGAGTGAATTCAGGGCAGAATACGCAATTCATTCAGCGGGGAGATATTCAGGCATTCAGATAAGCACCAGGCCACGAACAGTTGGCAGGAGCAATTTCAAATTCAGTCCCCAGAAATTCACAGGGCACAGTTTATGTTACAGAAGAAAAACATGGCAAGGAACAGATTTTCAGATAAGATACTTAAAGTGGCAATAGAAAAAAACAACACATTTGTCTCTTTAAAATACTGATTTAATTGAAGTCTGAAATTTAAAGAATGCAATGTCATGATCTACTAATCTCTTGCTCTACAATAGCATATGCTGTGAACTGAGATGTCTAGGTTGTCAGGAAAAGGTTTTAAAATGTCAAGATTAGTTGGAATGTTTATTTAGCAATATTTTAAAATATACATAAAGTAAAAGGGGAAATTAAAGCTAGTTAATTTCAGCATTCAATCTAATAATCAAAGCTACCTCTACTGAAGAAAACTTGGGTAAGAAAACAATTTATTCAAAGTTTACAGATTAAACAGGTGAAGATGTCTGAGTGTAAAAAGAGGCATACTTTTGGCTAATACATTTTCCATTCAGCACCCATTTCAGAATTTCAATGGAACTAGCTATGGACAATGACGCACTGTACTCTGGGACTTCCCTACCTAGAGAGTAACAATAGTTAAGTATCCGTCAGAGCAATGTTATAGATTTGTTTCCAACTCTCAGGAAAAGGGCTTCTTTTAAAATAAAAAATAAAAATAAATGAATAAATAAAAAGCTTAAGATGAAAGAAAAGATGGGTGCTTCATCTTTTCATAAAATTATATTACGAAACTTAAAAATTTTTTTAATATTAAAATCAAGAACTCATGATCTGGACTGCAGAAAATGAGTAAATGTGGGCAAATGAAGGCTACCTAATAAATACAGATTAGCTATGAAAATCTGGATGTTTAAGGACTCAAATAATATAAACACAATTATAATATATCCAAATAATATTATATGTATATATAAACTTTTTCAAACTTACTGGATTCTTAAGAGCTTTTACACACAAATAAACATCCACCCAAATAAAAACAAAATCAATCATACCGAACGTGACTGATGACTTGAACAGTGTCTATTACGCTTCCTTTTAGGACTGCTTCTCCTGCTTCGGACCGAAGATTTACTGCAATGGACTCGATAACCGCTTTCAACGTCTCTATGATAATGTCTAGGTACATAGCCTTCGCAGTAGTCATTTCTGTATTCATCAACGTATCTCCGGTCCCGATAATCTCTCTCATTCAAGGACCTCGCTTCTAAATAATGACTGCGAACACAGTAAAGGATTTCAAATCATTCTCTTCATTCTGCAACAGTGTAGCTCAAACAGAACATTCAATAATTCCTGGTTAAACAGCTAACTCAATAAAAGAAAAAACCTCAAATTGATGGGATTAGTTTATACTTATCTCACAAACTTAAGACATAATTTTGCTTTAACCAACAAGTGGGTTCACATTCTCCATCAGATACACTGCTATCAAACACCTCACATCAAGGAACAAAGCTTGAGTCAATTATGTTATGCTCAGGGTTTACTAAGTGTCCCTTTACCTTTTGGAGACAATTAAAACAGAAAACTTCACAAAACTACTCTTCTGCAATTTATCAGTCTTATGATATATGCATCCGTAACTAAGCTCACTCGCTTTCCTCACAGAGCCATACAATCAGAGGCAGGCAAAAACAGGATTCCTTTCTCTTTTAATATTAAGTGAATTTTAGTTATCTCTGGCACACACAGAATTCTTTCATGAAAGGTGTACTAGAGCTAGCAGGAATCTTACATGTATTCCAATCCTTTCATTTCACAGATCACTGAATTAAGAGCCCTAGAAAGAAAAGGATTTGCCATGGTTGTAGAGCACATTCTAACTATTACATGGGCCAATTTTACTACACATATCACCCATCCCATCTCCTCTCCTCTCCGTATTCCTAGCCTTCTGTTTTTCCTTTTGGAGAAACAGACAACACAGCTTTTGAAGGTTGCCTCATGTGCCAAAGACATTAAAATACATTCCCCACAAATGAGAAAAGGATCTTGTAATTGCTTGCCTAGGATTACAAAACACCCACCCGCACCACCCCTATTTCCCTTTGTGTTTCTCATTTCCTGTCGTTCCTGCTTGCAAAATACTCAAAAATTCTACATGGGAAACCTTATCATCTAGTGCCATGGTGCTTAACTTCTGAATCTACAGATCCCTTTAAAAATCTGATGAAAGCTACGGACCCTCTCCCCTAAGAAATGCACAAATGCGTAAACAAAACTCGGCAAGGAATTTCATAGAGGTCACAGACCCCAGGAAGTCAACAGATCCCACTTAAGTAGCCTTGATCTGATGGAAAGAAAAGGACATAGATTCAATTGGCCCAGTTTCCCGTCCCCCTCTCTACCTGGGATGGTGTCCTCTTCAACAGAGTGCGAAGCTTCAAGAGGGATGCACATGGAGCACTGAGGGAGAGAGGGGACACCTGCCCAGTCAGACAAATCAGCTAAAAGAATCCTGACAAGCAATGGAGTGACAGATGTTGACTAGTTGCCCTCACCAACCTCATTCTTTCCCCAGAATATGCTGTTGTTCTTTTTCCCAGGGGGGGCTGGTGTAGGCAGAAATAAAAGGAAAGCATCTCTAAACTCCTACACAACAGGGCTGCCATCAAATCCAGGCTAGGGAAATGCAGAACCCCCTTTTCTCCCTTTTGTCAGTTTCAATCTTAAGTTCTAACCATTGGAGAAACAACTCAGGATATTACGATAAGAATGTGGGTCTAGGTCAGGGATCTGATCACTTGGCCTCAAACTGTCAACGAGAAATCTACAATACATCAGGCTAGAAATTACCTCACTATCAAGGGCATCCTTTTTAATTCTGTAAGGCATCCCTTCCATATAAGTCCAAAGCCTATCAGAAAAAACTAATGCTAATAATCTTTAGCTGAAATAGTACATAAAACTAGAGCTGCAGTAATCCATAAACAAATTACAGACTGACAAACATGAGGTGAAATAAAGCCATGAGGATAAACTAGAAAGATGAGGGACCTCTTCAATCTGTAACAACCACGCTTTAGAGATCATGTAAACAAAGTCTACAGAATTATAAAGGCTATGTATGGACAGAGTGGACAAGATGAACAGACTGATTTAAATTCTAAAAATATTCACTGAACGTCCAGTGAATATTTCACTGTGGTCCTTCAAAATAGCCCTACAGGCATTCGTTTTTATTTCCACACAGGTCCTGTGGAAGATAAAAAAATATATATAAGGCAAAATCCTTGCCAACAAATGAACAATTTGAGATTACTAACATAAAAACAAAACTCGACAATGCAGGAAATGCTGAAAGACTGCATGAGTGCTTAGGATCATGGGGGTGGGGTGGGGAATGGGACTTAAAATGCTTAAAATGGTGAGAAGACTTCATAAAAAAAGCAGAGTTGCATCTTAAAGGGACGTCAAGATCTGGACAAAGTAGAAAGTAGAAGAAATGCCAGGGGAGAAGAATGGTATTAGTACCATCTCACATTAACAGATCACAACAGTGTTCTGGGAGATGGGCTGTCTATGTATCGCCCAGAAAACAGTATGTAGACAATTAAAGCAAGACCAATATTCCACATAGGGGAACAAACAGAGGCAAATAATATAAGCAGGGAACAGATCATGCAACTCTTGCATGCCAGGCTAAAGAGTTTAAAATGGTGTTTTCAAAGGGTGGTCTTTCTTCAATATTATCTAAATATGAATTATTAAAAATGAAGATATCTGGGCCCCAGGTCAGAATGACTAATTCTACATCTGGTAATATGCATTTAAAACATAACTCTGAGGCGATTCTGTTCATTCTCAAATTTGAGAATCACTGGTTTAAGACTTGACACTCTAGGTTACGTAAGAAGACACTTAAGAACTTTTACCACAATATACAAAGGCATTGTTCATAGCCACATGAGTCTTAGTGATATAGTACAGAACTGGTTAAGCCTGTACCAACGGAGACCAATTCACAGGCTACCGCCAAAAGACAAATCAGAAAGAAAAGACACTTTGCAATATGTATGAAAAAAAAAAAAAAAGGTTAAAAAAAAAAAAAGATATACAGTAAAAGCTCTTCTAATCAGTGCAATACTCTGAAAGAGAAAAAACATGTATTGGACAAACTCACTAAAACCTTAAAAATTCAAATTAAAACCACTATTCTTGGCCTTTCAAAATGCCAAGACTGGCAGGAGCATTGGAAACATGTTGTAGGATCTGGTACAAACTTTCTAGGGGAAAAAAAACATGAATATGTAGCAAGACCTTTTAAGAGTTCACACCCTTTAACTTAAAAATGTCCCTTCTTAGACCTATTTTCAGGAAATAATCAGAGGCAAGGACTTGTAAAGAATGAATTTTTTTTTTTAAGAACAAATAGTTAGAAATTAATGGGGGCCTAGCAACCTGCCAAGGTTACCTTCTTTACAGTTTACTGCAGTTAGAGACCTGTAGTAATTCCAATTATTTTATAAAAAATACCACTGTAAAGTTTCTTAATCTTCAAAAAATACTATTAGAATATTCCAGATTATTGGGGCGCCTGGGTGGCTCAGTGGGTTAAGCCTCTGCCTTAGGCTCAGGTCATGATCTCGGGGTCCTGGAATGGAGCCCTGCATCAGGCTCTCTGCTCAGCGGGGAGCCTGCTTCCCTCCCCTCTGCCTGCCTCTCTGCCTACTTGTGATCGCTCTGTCAAATAAGTAAATAAAATTAAAAAAAAAAAATAATAATAATATTCCAGATTATGGAGCGCAATTACCAAGAGACACCTCTAGTGCCGACATCAAAGAAGCAGCTTGGCTTACTGGTTAACTGGGAACATGAAAACTGTTTATCGCTCAAATCTTCCTTCCTACATATACAATAACAAACTTAGCAATTATTAGTACTATGATGTTAAGCTTCACAGGGCATTTTTATTTGTTAATAAAAGGGTACAGATGTTTTCCTGCAATGCACTAATTAGCTCAGGTCACTGTCATCCTGGTGAAAACTCTCCCTCTTCCCCACGTGACAGTATGTGATGAAGAAAGATTAGTCTACAGTGACTACCAACAAGATCATTGTTCCACAGAACAAGTCTGTTTTAGCATGGAGAAGGAAAAAAATTACATACTGTTTTTTAAAGTAACCCCAGCTGGCTAATTTAGAAAGCAATCTGGCAAACAGTCTCAATGGAACATCTGTACAAAACAAGGAGAAAACACAGAACCAACAAAACAAATGAGAAAGGGAAGTTAATGGAAGACAGACTGAAAGAAATGCTACTCACCTAGCCTTTCTTTAATCCTTTAGGAACTTTAAAATTTCTTTAATTCTATATAAATGTATCACCTCTGAATTTTACACAGTAAGCATATATTTAAACAGGACACATGCTATTGAAACATTTACACTGAGGCCCTTTCTTAAATTACTGGTTCTTACAATAACCAAGCTTCTAAAAATCCTACACACCTCCACTAGCCTTATCTACAAATATAACCTATAGAATACAGTTTAAGTGACTAAGCCCCCCATGCACTTTACCATTCCCAAGCAGCGCATGCTGGTTTTCTCATCTGGATTAACTCTCTCTACCCCCTCATCATCTCTCATTTGTGCAACCATAAATGAGCACCCTAAAATACATATCTCCTCCTACATACCAGTTAAAGGCACTCACTGGGCATCCTATCATCACTATGACTAAATTGTTCATGGCTCACCGCCCTGACTACACTGCTGGCACCTGGGACTCAACTGTCTCCCACCAGTCCCAGACAGACATCAATAAACAAGAGTATGAACTGTTTTATTCATAGCTGTAGCCTCAGCACCTGTACAGTGTCTAGCCTATTAACAGGAACTCAATGAACATTTCCTGAATATTTGTTGACTTAATGAATTATAAATCTGACAAAATAAAGCTATATAGGCTAATAAGGAATCATTAAAACTACTAGTGTTAAAATCCTACTAATTCAAAAGTAATTTACCAATCAGATTCTTTAAACTGGTGATGTGGTTTACAATGTCTGTTTTCTTGCGTACTACTGTGGGACCTCCTCTTCCGTTTGTGACTTCCGCTGTAGCTTTCATGTCCCCAGCTTTCTCTGCTATCCCAATCAGGGCAGTGAGTTCTTTTGGAATGCCGCATCTGTTAATGGAAAGGAAAAGTGAGCTGTGGAGGCTATAGATATGTTTAGTAAATAAAATATCAGACATTATTTAATTATAAACACTCAGCACATGAGCTCATACTGGTTCTAAAATATTTGTGGGTGATATTTCCCAAGGCATGGGGCACCATTTCCATTGTATGTCAGATGACTGTAAATGGCATACAAATCTAGTACCAAATGATGCAGGACACTGTGAGACCTTAATAATACATTTTCTTGGGGCGCCTGGGTGGCTCAGTTGGTTAAGCAACTGCCTTCGGCTCGGGTCATGATCCCGGAGTCCTGGGATCAAGTCCCACATCAGGCTCCCAGCTCCATGGGAGTCTGCTTCTCCCTCTGACCTTCCCTCCCATGCTCTCTCACTCTGTCTCTTTCAAATAAATAAAATCTTTAAAATAAATAAATACATTTTCTTTCAATTTTTCTAAATAAATGCTCAGTTTGGTGTTTATCTCCAACTAACCTTTGCCAACTGCTATTGTAAACATAGTGAAAGAGCCACGATTCAGATTCAGAACGCCAATAGACCATATCCAGTTAGAAATTAATAACTGGAGGAGTTTTAACTCACTTTTATTACATTTTAAGGTGCTTTTTTTTTTTAAGATTTTAGTTATTTATTTGACACAGAGAGAGATCACAAATAGGCAGAGAGGCAGGCAGAGAGAGAGAGGGAAGCAGGCTCCCTGCCGAGCAAAGAGCCCCATGCGGGGCTCATGTGGGGCTCGATCTCAGGACCCTGAGATCATGACCTGAGCTGAAGGCAGAGTCTTAACCCACTGAGCCACCCAGGCACCCCTATTTTTAAGTAATCTTCATACCCAACATGGGGCTTGAACTCACAACTCAGAAATCAGAAGTCGCATGCTCCACTGACTAAGCCAGCCAGGTGCCCCTTACCTTCTTTTTATAGTAAATGATCTCCTGATCAAGTTATTAATATGAATTCTTTAAAACAAAACGTTAACTTTTATGGACTATTTTTTTTTAAAGATTTTATTTATTTATTTGTCAGAGAGAGAGGGAGAGAGAGCAAGCAAAGGCAGACAGAACGGCAGGCAGAGGCAGAGGAAGAAGCAGGCTCCCTGATGAGCAAGGAGCCCGATGTGGGACTCGATCCCAGGACGCCGAGATCATGACCCGAGCCGAAGGCAGCTGCCCAACCAACTGAGCCACCCAGGCGTCCCTTTTATGGACTATTTTAAAGAGAAATATCCTAAGTGTCATACGGCTTTGGCAAAATTCTGTAATACACACAACTAAAATCAGAGAAACACTTAGGGATGCTAAATATAGGGGATGACATTTTAAAGGTACAGAAGTTTCTTTTTTTTTTTTTAAATGCACTAGAGTTCCTTTTTCTAATCTCAGAATGACTCCAAGCTTTGGGGGAAAAGGTAGGACACGAGTTGAACACTGTATTCAAACACAGAAGCTGAATAGCAAAACAAAGATCTATTTATAAATGCATTTTCTCAATCCAACAAGTTTATTTTCCAGATCATCTTGCAATTACATACTGATGACTGAAGAAACCAACCAACCTACAAGGATGCATATGGTCAGTGAAATCAGATGAGGATAGTGAGCAGTCCGATTTCCTGCCTCCATCTACAACCTCAAATGTGTGTGTTCCTTCCAGGCTCAGGATCTGTGTTCTAACAGTGTAATCACTATCTGCTGCTCCCCATCTTAATTCTTTTACAAACCAGTTAAGTTTTTAACAGTGACACCCAAACTGCTCAAAGGGGGAGCTCTGCAATTCAAAAGCTGAAAAAAAAAAGATAAAATGGAGCAAATTCAGCTTAGTTTACTGCCTTTAGCTTGCCCAAATGACTCAGTAACAAGCAAACAAATTCAAGTAAAAATTTAAATGATTTCAAATGCATTTAAAACAGACTTGAGGGGCGCCTGGGTGGCTCAGTGGGTTAAAGCCTCTGCCTTCGGCTCAGGTCATGATCCCAGGGTCCTGGGATCGAGCCCCGCATCAGACTCTCTGCTCAGCGGGGAGACAGCTTCCTCCTCTCTCTCTGCCTGCCTCTCTGCCTACTTCTGATTTCTGTCTGTCAAATAAATAAATAAATAAATAAATAAATAAATAAAATAAAATAAAACAGACTTGAAATGAGGCAGCTGCAATTCTCTTGGGAGGTATTCCCTAAGAAAATATTTGTATCATACCTTTTGCTTAAAAAAAAGAGAAGGCATTGGTCAGGTCTATCAAAAATTCTAAAACGTGTTAGGATTCTCACTGGGTATGATTAAGTGAGCATTCCAGTGTGACAGAGTCACCCTCAAAATGAGAAATTGAAGTGAATGACACTACAAATTAACTTGAGGCAAAGGCCAACAGAAAAGCCATCTAAAAATATGTGTATTTCTAGTGGAATTCTTCCAAATCTTCCCTTCATCACCCCAACTGTCTTTTAACCACATTAGTAATTCTTCAAGATAGCTTGGTTAGGCGTTCTTAAATCACAGCCAGCAAAATTACATGGGATGACCAAGGATTATTACCATGACTATCCATTACGATTGCCGTTTTTGGAAACATCTCTGCTTTAGCTTTGTGGGGTGTTTCCCCCGGTTCTGTAAGTCTGCCAAAACCACCTCACCTCTAACAACGCAGAATTCTCAAAGACCAAAATTATCAATACCCAAACATTAAAATAAGAACCAGCACCCTGGGAGGTCCAGAGATTTTTTTTTTTCCACTTCTCTAGTCAAGTTCAGTACTTTAAATTTAATCCGGCTGTCATGAAGTTTTCCCTTACTGATTTTGAGAAATACTGTCTGAGGAGGCAAAGAG